TACTTGCTGCTTGTTTGTAAAATCCTCATTACTATGCCTAATATACTCTGTCCCTGGAGTAAATTAAAGCATTTCTTTTTTTGGTGCTTAGCTTTCCCTTAAGTTGGATTCTTTAAGGGTATTCTTTGAGAAATACAGGGACTATTCTGTGACATCTGAGTCCTGGAGATCAATTTATAGCTGTTAAAGATCATGAAGAATTGCCCATTAAAACAGTTACTATTTGACAAATAACAACATTTGTATTTAGCCTGGATATTTATCAACCAGACAGAGCACTTATTCCTGATGCCTGAATGAAAGTCTGCATGAACAAACTTATTAATCAGTTAGGATCTGGTTTTAAACCACCTGTCTTATTTAAATAGAAACCACCAATGTGCACTTTTGCATATATTTATACTGCACTTCTGATCTGATTGCACTGGAATGTGCCTGTGTTGAGGTGTCATAGCCATGGGCAAAACCACCAACAGTAAAACTCTGTTATAGAAATCCTGTTTTCCTTTTCTTGAGAAATGTTTGCACTCTGTTTTGATCTAAAACTAGGGATCTTGTGGATTATACATATTGCATTTAGCCTTTTAAAACCTCAGATCGTGGTTGTATTTGCTCACACACAGAGGCTCTGCTGTGTCACTCAAGTCAATGGGGACACAGCTACTGAAGTCATTAGCTTTTCAGAGGAGGGAAACTGATTCAAAGAACACCTCATATTTTAAAGTTCTAAACTAAAAATGGGCTTTGGAAAATTTCTTAAATATTTGTGAGCAAAACCTTTCTTTTAAACAAAACATTTTGTCAAAATCAAAGGTGTTCCAAGCAGATTAGTTATTGAATCCACAGGGGAAAAAAAGAAAGCTTTGCATAGGTCCCAGTTACAAAGAGTCTACTATTTTGTAGTAAGGATCAGCTTAACTAAAATAAAGAGGTATGGATAAGACAAAAGTTTCTAAGGAAAGCTTTGTGGTTCATCATCCTACTTAATTTCTTTGAGGATTATGTAGGAGTTGTTAAATGGTGTGGATTTCTGTTTAAATTGAACAGAGTATGAGTATTTAATTTCTCTTTACTGTTCAAACTATTATAGGTATGGCATATATTTTAACAGCAAATGATTAATTTGGCCCCTCTATTTTATTTTATGTATTCTGCATGCAGTCAGGTCTGTTTCTTAAGGACAAGTTCAAAATCCATGAAACTTGTTTCAAAAAGGAATGAATAATTATAATCTGTGTTTTTTATCCATGAATATATAATCTGTGTTTACAGAACATTTATTTTTCAAAGCTGTATACAAATATTAGCAAAACAATCATCACAACATCCTTGTATGTCAGGTTTTACATATAGCAAAATAATAAAAAAAAAGAGCTATAAAATATAGTGCCTAGCACTTTTGTCCTGTAACTGGGGTGTCAAGCTACTAAAGTAATGCAAATAACAATAATGGTATGGAAGAAACCTTTCAAGTTTGAGTCTCTAACTGGCTTGATTTTCATAGGTTTAGACTTCTGAGAACTCACAACTCCCTTTGAAGTCAATTGAAAATGTGAGTGTCAGCACACATTAAAATCAGACCACTAATTTGGATGCTTAAACATGAAATTTAAATTTGCAACTTTAAGTTTGGAAAAATTCGCCTAGGTGACTTTTCCGAAGGTACCTTATAAACCAGTATTAGACCTAGGAGATTCTTGATTTTCAACACCTTGTTTTCACAGAGATTCCAGCAGAGAAAAAATTGGCTAAGAAAATCACAATATGGTAGATCTGTGCAGCTAAAGGAAGTTGGAGTGGGCAGGGAATACTGCACCATAGTCCAGATATTGCAAGGACAAGAGAACCTTCCCTTCTTCCCAGAGCAGCCTAATTTAAAAAAATAGCTGAGGCCATATTGTCTTATGGAGAGGACACTGAAGAAGTCTGGTCATTTTACATAAACTCTTCTTCTCACCTGCTTGTACGTTACCTCCTACCATGTTACACAAAACTGACTGGAACAACTGTGGCTACACAACTCCTGTGGCTCAGCTTTGTTTATACTTTTTTAGAAGTTATGCACCAGATCATCCTGTCCAGTGTCCCAAGGTCACTTCCTCAGCTTCAGCAGACCATGAGGAATTTATCTCAATTCTAGTTGTTACTGTGCAGATATTGCTGAGAAGGGACACTATGAGGAGCATCTTCCTCATCAGCTGACAGCCACGGGATATGGTCACATTACAGAATGAGTGTTCCTTCATCCATATGATTTCCTAGGTTTGATGAAGCAGCCAAAGTTCTCTTCTGTGTTAGGTCTGCAGCAAGAACAAATAACTTGAACACGTAGTGAGTTCCTAATATTGAAATAAAGGGTGGAGCTGGTGAATTCTGTCTAGTGCCAGCTCTCTACGTAAATATTTCTCAGGATATATTTGTACCTTAGCACTGCCACTCAACAGAAGTCAGTTTGTAATGTGAATCACCAAACACTAAGAACCCAACATACATGTTATGTGTTTGAATATGAGCTAGCTGTGGCTTGTTCCTGTGGTTTGAATGCCCATGACTGCTCAGGTCCCACCAGAGGCATTCCTGAAACATCCTCTAGCTCAGTGATATCCAGAAGGAACAAGGCTATCTTGTCTCTGGGCTGTAGCTCAGTGTTTTGGGAGGATGGGGGGATTTCCTTCAAGAGTGCACTCATAATTTATGTACCCCCTTATGGAGGTACAAACTTCACATTGATTCTGTGCCTTAGTCAGCATATTTCAGGAGTTTTTCCACAGTAGAACTCTGTAAGGTAGGAAGTAGTCAAATACCTCCAGTTTAGAAACCTATGAAGGAGAAGTAATGGAAGCTGGGAGATGCAGTAAACTAATCCAGATAATTACAAAGAATTGTTTCATCCTTTCAATGATCAGGAGCATATCCTACTATCTCACATACTAAGCCCTAGCTGAAAGTCCTACTCATACACAGCTGACTTTCAAAGGGTGAAATAACAGTAAAGCTATGGCTGTGCTAAAATTGCATAAAATGTAAACAATATTGTAAATAAAGTTCTCTATGGTTCAGTGTATTTCCACTGAATTTTGTGAGAGAATAAGGCATAAGAACGTCAGAAAAGAGCCAGCTTGTCTTATGATGCTTGCAGCTTTAATTATGAGCAACTCCAACTCTCTGTGTTTACAGAGGGGAGATTACATACATGTTATTTAAAAACCATTGGGTGTAAGTTTATAGTGGTAACAGGCAAGTCTAATTTTCTTTCATACTTAGGATTTAATAGGTACAGAATGCTGCCCAAGGGGAAAAAAATGAACAAGTAGTAACTTGATATTTATTCTACACAGACGTGAAGAAAGCTCACAGAAATACACAATGTCTGAAACATTGACATGTATAACTATTTTAATTGTAATGTTGACTTTCTAATAGACCATTCTGCTATGGCAGAGCTTGAAATAGTTGCAATAATTTCCAGACAAAAAGAAAAAACACTCCAAAACCAACCCCCCAGTCTAAAAGACCAGGGTAAAGAAATCCTGTTTGGAAAAGCTTATGGTGGAGTCCTAAAAATTGCACCAAGTTTATACAGTCCAAGGTTGAGAATATACCATTATCATTTTGTATAAGTGATGCTGTCTTTCCTAGGCCAGATTGTTTTTTGTAAGTAGGGTCTTTTACTTCTGATATTTCTTGTCTATGCTGGGGAATATTTGTGAAGAATCCTCAAATGTGTTTTAGTGCAGATTCCCAGCTCTGCCAGTTTGACTGCAGAAGATGACCAGGAATATGGTGTAACAAATATAGCAGGGGTGGAAATCCTAAAATCTTAGCCCTCCTGGTCACCCCATGTCTGCAGACACAGGAATATAAGCCCTGTTACTATTTTTTGCAGATGTGAGTGGCCGTAGGGTCAATGCTGGTGATTAACCCAAGAACATATGGAAAGTTTGTGGCAGAATCAACATGTGGGGCACAGGCTTATCCTCGCCCTCAGCTCAGGCTCATTGCATCTGGACCTTCTCCTGACACTAGATTTTAAAGCCTGACTCATCACAGATTATTTTATGTGCTCAAGCTAAAGCCTATGTGAAACATACAAACCATTATTTTAAATTGACTTCTCTATTTTTACAGTGGATAATTTTTATTCCATCGATATTTATATGCATAGCAAATGTGTTTGGTGCCTCAGTTCCTTTTTTTTAACATTAAAATTGTCATTTGTGTCACATTCTAAGCCAAATTAAATTATAAAAATACTCAGTTATGTAACTACTAATATCATAGTATTTCTTATTATGGCGATAAACAAGGAGTATATTGAAAAAAACCTTGTGAATCTCATTTCTGATCCTAATGAAGCAAGTAACCCATTATACCAAGGTTAATTTGTTGACTCATGATTTCCACTTATCCAATGATATACTGAATCATATGAACAAACCTCTACATCTAATCAGTTTTTTTATTGAATCCTGACCTTTTATGCACCTTCTTCTTGATTATGAATGACAGTGACCTTTATCTAATTTAAAACACACATACTGATGCAAAAATATGCAAAGTACACATGTAAATTCTGAATTAAGATGAAGATGTGCATAATCTTCCAGGGAGAAATTGCTTTAGAGAGAGATGTTTATATTAGCACCAATTGAGGGTATATGGAGAGAAAAAGTGAATTAGTCAGAACTCAGATGGTTTTGGAGGAACAGCTGCAGAGATACTGAGGACTGTTTAGATTTTTTTCTGCTTCTATTTAGAATCCTGAAATGTCAATATAAATATCAATTTTTATTATGCTATTCAGCTTTTTATGGCATTCATGAAATGATCAAAATGCAATAAAGTCAGATAAAACACCTTTTCACCTAAGGTTTGACAAACTGTACCTCAGTATTCCATTTATGTTTCACTCAAAATGCATAATAGTAATTTTCTACAACACAAAATCTGGGTCAAATTCATAATATTATAAAAGCTGTCTGGTTCACTTTGCCATTTACCTCATTAAGAAGGAATGGTATGAGCATCATATGGAGATGGTCTTTTTAGTTCAGGATATAATTAGGAATTGCTGTAAATGCTGAAAAAGAAATAAACAAATTTAAGAGGAGTGACTCTGGGGGAAAAAAGAACTCCCTAACTTTCATTTTGCTTTTTTTTCTGCTCATCACTAATGGGTCTGCACTGAAATTACTACAGATGAATGCACAATGGGCACGGTCAGAACCACTGTGTAATCCTATAATCTATTCTCTCTTTTCACAAGTCATTCCTTCCTCTGAATTGCTGCAAACCTAAGTTGTAGATCAGCAGCTTTGTTCTAGCCTTGTATTAAAAAATATGTGAAAAAAAATATACGGAAAATTTGCAAAACTCAGTGTAAAGACTGTCAAAGCGCAAATCTAAGAAACACATTCCTCTGAGAGGCTCCAACCAAACAGTACCTGGCATTAGCATGTACTTTCATGATTAACAACAGGGGGTTGTCAGACTGCTATTTCTGAAATAAACAGATTTATCCTGACAGATAATCAGCAGTTTGTGCTACCTAATACATGTTATCATCCACCACTGACATCATTGCATTAAAAGCACACTTAGTATAATCTTTTGTATGAAATTAAACAGGTTTTATGATACATTTTTGGTGGTTTCTTTGTGGTGGATAGAGGGAAGCCTGGTGAAGAGATTGCAAGGTTAGAGAAAGCATCCATAGCAAACACCACAAAGAAGATGCCCAGAAATTTCATGCTATATTTGTTTTTTCACAATCATTAATGTAATTTCTAAATAAATTAAGCCCAAATGTTCTGACTGTACTTTTAAGAAGTCTTCTATAAGGTCCTAGTCTGTCCCTTGTTACCTCAGTACTCTCCAGTGTTTCTCGGTCTGTCTGTCCTGCAAGGTTCACATAAAAACTTGCCATATGACATGAACTTGCCACTTACAGATGTATTTTTGGGGCTGGCAGGTGGACTTTGGGAAGTCCTGCACATTTTTCTGGCAGGCTCAATATTTAACTTTTGGACACCTCTTTGTTGACCATCTCTTCCTCCCTTGAGAAAGGAGGGACCGGGTTACACTTTACTCACTGGACAGGTAAAACAAACTTTTGACTCTATGGAGGAAATATGGAACAAACTCTCTTGAAAACGGGATGCCTGTGGATCCTCCCTTCCAACCTACCTGCTTGCTCACCTAGCTGTTTCTGCAGTGATCAAGTTTGTACTCATCATGGGCAATGAAATTTTGGTAAGAAAAGCTAAATACACATTCTGTGTGTGTGTGTGTATGCCTATGCATGTATATGTATATATAACATATGCATCCTCCTCCAGGTAAACAATTCTTGCCTCTTACCCTTATAAGGGTAATGGGAATTATATTCTCTCAAGTTCACTGGAGAAAATACTGCAATTTCTTCCCTTTTTAAAATTTTAGGTTGCCAACTGACATTATATTATTACTGTTCTGTGAGCTCATATAACATAGCCATGGCAAAGACAAGGAACAAAAATTGCATGGGGACTGTTACTTAACTTTAACAAGTATTTCATCTTCTTCCTCCAAGCACGATTTCTAAGTCATAGACTTTTCTGCAGGGGCAAGTCAGGTATCAAACTCCTGGCTCCAGAGGCCTGTTGTGACTAGTCTTATTTCTCCAGAGACAGAACCTGTATCCCTCTCTCAGTCCTTTGTCTCACATGGAATAAATTTTGTCTTTTCCACCTTCTTCCTTCATAACTTGGCAGGAAGAGGAGTAAGAAATAGTGTCTAGTGAGTGGGAGATTTTTATCTATGCACACTCATACATTCCCTCTAACGATAAAAAAAACCAACCAGCCCCCCAACTAAAACAGCAGAACTAGAACAGTGGGAAGGATGAAGTTCCTTACGTGACAAGTGTAACCTTTAAATAAAGTGGCAGCATCACACATTTTAAATGCATCTTAATTCCTATGTACTCTTTGTGTCCTATAAAACCTAGCTTTTGACAAATATGTATGTATTGATTAAGGATCTTTTACCCTCCTTTTTCCCAGTATTCTTCTCCAAAATCTTTCAGTTGCAGTTGTTAAAGCTAATGCAGAATTTTGCCACAGATCTTTTGCCTCAGGTAAGCTGGGCGAAAGTTCAGCATGTGATACTCTGATGTGTAATGGAGAGATAAATATTAATCTAACCAAGTGATTTCAGTGGTTTATTTTGTTTTCATTTTTAAAAGTGTTGAATTTCTACTGACCCACATTTCTTGTACTCGGTGATTTTTGAGGTCGCTTAGATTTTCATTTGCATTAGATATTTTGTGTCCAAAGGTCAAACGAGCATTGCTTTTGAGTCGGATGCCTACTGGCTGAATTTCTAATACTTAATCTTTTCACACTGAGAAATATAAAAAAGTGGGAGGCAGTTCAAGCTATCCCAAATAAACAGACAGAAGTAAAGCAACAATTACTTTTCCTGTGTGGACTGCTCTTGCTCATTTCTCCTCAAGAGATAACACTCACTGACATAATGTCAGATAACCATGTTCAGTGTTTCACAGACTTGCCATTTAAAGATTCATTTCCACTCCACTTATTTTCTTTTTATCAGCTTCTCTTTTGGTGCATTTCGTCTGTGAAAATTTTCATGTAGACTCCCAGAACAGGTATTTGGGAGAGAGGGAAGCAAAAGGGTTTGACTTGACTTAAAACACCTCTAGAAATTATAAAGAGAGTAAGATAGGGCAGAAAAATGCGAAGTTCTCATGAGAATAGTTGTTTGCATAAAATTCTCAACTCTTAATAAAGCTTCAGTGCAGTTCCTGGGGAAGATGGATATATAAAGCCTCAGGTTAACTTCAGTCATTACCAAGCATTTTATATCTGCTGAAGAATTCCAAACATGTTAAAGGTTGTCAATCCAAATCTTTAAACTAAAATAAATAAATAAAAAACACCCAACCAACCAAATAAGTAAATAATGAAATAAGGAGCAACTTCAAAGACTGTCAGTAGGCAAGTTATAGATCTGATTCAGCTTTTAACCCCTAGAGGTATAAGCACATTTTATCCGGAAAAGATATGCAGTGTCTGTACTCTGCAATATTGCATTTTAATAATCTACAGCACAAGGCAATAATAAAAAAGGAGAGTATGATATAATTGTGTATGTAATTTGATGAGAAGCTGTGGGGAACATAGTCTTTCTACTCAATTATAGAAAATACTAATAACAAATCCTTGAGGACTTTGTTGACAATTAAGTTTCCTATTTTTAGCCATATGTTTTCTCAAAAGCTCTACAACTTACTTTTTAGGATTCCCATTTTTTCCCCTCTCCAGAGTACTTTTAAAGTGTTGTTTAGCTTAGAATTGTAAACAACACATTCAAGAAGTTGGATGGAACTTAACAACGATCTCCAAAGCATTCTTTTAAGATGGTAAAACCAGCAGAAAAGAGCCTGATGGGAGTAAAAGCCCTACATTATATACAGCTATGAGGTTTACTGCATCCTATGGATCCTGCTGCAAGGCACACTAAAGTAGAGCATCAGGTAACTTTTCTAGAAGAGAGGTTTGACTGAGTTACTATAGCAATGGCAGGTTTGCAGAGGCAGAGGAAGAAACGAAACCAGTGGAAAAAAGGAACTACTGAAGAAAGTCTCTTACAATCTCCTCTAGAAAACTCCATAGCATAAATTAGCCTGAAATGAAACACAGGGTCTCACTCCTTTGAAGATTTACTGAAAATACATTCAGAGACCTTAATAATATTTAATCTCCAGCTGGTTTCATCACATTTATCTCAGTGTATCAAAGAATTAAACTGAGTTGTGTCAAGTAAACCTGGTGAACTTAAAGGAAACTTCAGTACATAATTTGGAACTAACTGTATGAAATGCTGCTGATGACTCACTAAGGACCACTTTTGTCCCTGTGAGACATTGGTCATTGGGTAAAAGATGGAAAAGAATCAGGAAATAGCTGTCTGCTCCAACAATATTTTAATCCACTTACAAAAAATCTTCCTTGGAAAGGCCTTTTTCATATCTCCAGTGATGATTCATCTAATCTCATCTCTGTATATTGCTAAACTCCGCAGGGATCATCACCTTTACTTCCCAACTTTACCCTGGCCAGAGAGTAAGTCAGACAAAAGATCCTTAATGTCTTTCTCTAAGTTCAGCTCACTTCTCTAAAATGCATTTCCTCTGTCCTTCACAAAATGAAAGAAGTAATTTTTTTTAGAATTTTTTTTTTCTTCGCGTTCTTTTTTGTTTTCTATTTTTTCTTTTTCTTCTGGAGAGGCAGAATGCCAATATCAAAGGCCTCTTCTGTAAATCAAAATTTCTTTGTGTGGAGAAAGTTGAGTTTCTGGGAAGAATATATTTATTCTTTCCTGTCTAGAAAGGATTCTCAAATATTACTTTTAAACCTCATATATCAAAAATATATGTTTGTTCCTTCACATTATATATGTGCTTGTTCGCTCTAATTTATTCAAAAAACTCTGCTCTTGAAAGAGTTAATAAAAATTCTAATTACAGGATAAGAAAGAAAGGTCAGACTCCACTTACATCATTGTGAAGGGCTTTTATTACACACTGCTATAAAACATATTTCTTTTTTTCAGTTGCCATCCTCACAGGGTAACCTGCATACCAATAGGATCTCCAAAATGCCATGAAGCAAAAGATATTTATCTGCTAAATTCTATGTACAGTAACCTTACAAATGCCAGAGAAAGAAAGATTGCTCTCTGCACAGTAATACTTGTGTAGATGTCTTCTTTATGCTAACAATGACAAGGCTTTCTAGGTTTGTACTGTACTCCAAAATCAGAATGCATTTTTTGTTCAAAAAGCAGGCTGTATATCAAAGAGAAAAGATGCACATTTTAGGCACTGAAATACTTAATATAGTAAGCAAATACTCTCTTGAGGCATTTTTACTAAAAATATCTAATCCAGAAATATAAAATGAAAATGTATGACTCAAGTGTTCCTGAAGAAATTGGACAGGATATGTTTGGGAATATCTCTCTGTCCTGGCTGGTTAACTAAATTTTCATTTTGAACTCTTTTTAGAGCCTCACAGAACTGTTATTTGATTAACTTGACTATGTTAGATAGCAAGTTATCCAAAAGCAGAGTTGCTCCAAATCCAATTGCTGTCATTTTTTAAATCCAACTGTGCAAAACAACAAACAAGAACTTTACTGTGGGACAAGTACAAGTCAGAAAAATTCTAATTTTAGCAATATATTCAAATCCATTACTTGTGATTTAACATATCTAAAGTTGTTTATATAGTTATTTATATAACTATTTTCAGCCCTAAATTCTGACAATGTGTGCAAAGAAATATACATTAATAAACCCAAGATTTACTGTCTGCTTCCATAAAACCAATATGTGCTGTCAGATGTATTAATTCAATATTTCAAGTGATGTATGCTCAAAATTAGAATGCAACTAATAACATAGTGACTGACTTTCCTTTTCTTAAGGAGTTTTTTAGGAATCACATTCAAATAGTTGTTTCAGAGTTGCACTTTGTTTGCAGAGCAAGCACTGCACATCCAACCTTTCTAAACAATAAATATTAACACAGAATAGTGAGAGTTCCATTTCATCACTTCTGCTGGTAATTCTACTAACTATATGTTTATCTTGTGGTCTAAATTTATGACAGGCCCATTTGCAGTGAGGCCTGGAGTTTCCTTGTTTACAACACTGCAAAGTAAAAGGTGACCTTTTTGTTTTTATTTAAAACCTTTCAACAGTTTGTTCTGCTCCAGAGATAGCACCTTCATAAGGTTTCAGGCCAGAAAGCTCTCTTGTTTTCTTTTGCGGGGGCACTGAATTGTGCATTTACTTACACAGACATTAGAAAACATTTTAAAAACAGAATACAAACTTGGCTGCAGATTACATTTGTAGATTAGAAAGCTTCTGCACTGAGATCCTACCTGCCATTATGTAAAGGAAAAGAGAACCGGGCGTAGAGGATACATAGCTGGCTAAATAAACAGTAAATGAGCTGTTTAAACAGTTGTATCTATACACACAAGTAATAAAAGCATCAGGCACCTGGTGCAAGTCTATTAGGACCTAATTTCTGACAACAATATACATCATTATAGTGGGATCTGATAAAGAGCAAACACTGGAGGCATTACATGTCTTTAGAAGAATCAGACTTCCTACCTTAGCAAGAGTGATAGAAGGTAAGTCTCCCTTTAAAGAAAGTTGTAAGTAAAGCCAGGCAGCAGTTGCAGTGAATTGAGTCCTTTTCAGTCACTGTATACATGCAGTAGTTCTGCAATAAGGGAAAAATATAATGGGAGGAGCAGCTGTGAACGAGTGACCTCCTGAAGCTGAGTTCTCTTTGTGAATCGAGCACTGGGAGCCAGTGCCTCTGATTTGCATGGATTATCTCCACTTGAACAGATACATTTAAATTAACTGGCACAAGGGCACAGGGATAAAAAAATAAAATAGACGAAGGGGGAGAAAGCACGAAGAGGCAGGAGTGAGCGGTGAGAGCCGGAGCGCGGGGAGCGGAGGAGCGCGGAGGGAGCGCTCGGCGGGGCGCGCTGAGCCGGCAGCGCCGCGGCTCGAAGAGCCACAGCTCCCTCTTCATGCGGCAGCCGTACGGCGAGCACAGCCGTCTGTACGGCGAGTCTCACACCCAGTCCCCCACATCCCCCAGCTCCTGATGGTCCATTTGATCAGATTTCTATAAACACTTAATAATTCAGCCTGACGTGCACCCAGGGTTTTGGACTGCGAGCCTCAAACGATTACAAATCTGGTAAACTCTGCTAAACGACTTTAAACGCAGAAATATTTGAACATAGTAAGTTGTACAAGTGGAGATGGGTAATTTCCAAGTGTGCCATGACAGATTTATTATTTGTGAGTGTACAGGTGCCTTTAAAATAGTTAAGGGATGTCAGCATTCAAAGCATGCAGGCGGGAAGATCCCTAACAGGAGGATGGTGTGTGTTCCAGCTGGTGGTTTCAATGTTATCTAAAAATCTATCAAGACAAAAGAGAGACAAAAAATTTGCATTCAACCACTTCAGAATTTCTCCCTTATTACCATAAATACCACAAACATTACCTGTTGCACACTCCTGATTTGATTTAAATGCAGTACTTAAGCTGATTAGAGAAATATGAGAGTATGTTCAACCCTCTTGAACCTGCATCCCATCCAAGAGGATCCTGAAATAAACTTTATTTCTTTTGTTCAGAATATTTAAAGTAAGTTCTTTGTACACAATAGTGTAGAATTTCGTGAACCTCTACATGGATTCATTCTGCTCAGAAATTAGACCAAAAGTCATGAAAAAATAGTAGAATGGCTGGTCATGTGTTCTTTCATGAACATCTGAAAATGGGAATGGATGCAATTGCATTCTTTGAGAATTATTCATTGGTGAGATTTAGTGGGACAAAATGGTCTGCATTAGCACTCAAAAGACTCACATGGTGCCTTGTAAGATGGGTGTCTTACTGTAAAATACTGCTTGTTCAGAGATAAATAGAATGAAACTGTACAAAGACAACCAGAACTAAAGTCTGTTTCTAGCTCATTTGCAAATCAAGCTGGGTCCAACATGAGTCTGTTGGGTTTCACATTTCTGGGGATGCCAACATTTATTTGTAACACAGAATCCAGAATGGTGCTTTTATCTGAACAGTACATAGGGTAAGTACTATACTTAATTGAATGAGAAACTGCTTCCTTGAGTAAAATTTGCTACAGATAAATGATCCCATAAACATTGGAAAAAGTAATGGAGGATATATTTGGGTTTTCTAAGACATGCTATATGGCACAGTTATTTGGTGTACCATTTAAAGTGCTTCCTCTGAGAAATGCTCTTGACTCACTGGAGGTCTGGGAGTTTGATTATTTTATTATAAGAGGGGAAGGATCCTTCAACTAGATTCTGTCTCTTTGAATACTTACCCAGATAGTATTTAACAGGACTGAAATATCATCCTTCCCTGTGCACTGTCCAGAACTTCTCAACCATGTTCTCTGGTAATATCTTACTTGTAAGTTGGACCCCAAATTTTATTTCCTATTTTCTCAATTGTGACCACTCCACTTCCAGTGACCACTCACCAGGTAATAACAGATGAATTTGACTCCAGCAGGGCACTCAGAAGTCTAGTCTCAATATCAGACCTGTATATGATAGCTGTGTAATGCAGCCTCCTGGTTGATAGATGGCTTTGTAAAAGATGGACTGTGAACCAAATTTGCTCTTATTACTCTGTACCCTGCAATACACTTCTCAGTGCTGCAAGTATCCAAGCTGATAATGGCATAGCTATTCAGTCCCACCAACCTGTATGTCTCCAGCAACAGGGAGTCCTAGAAAAAGAAAGAAATAATCCAGCAGTGAGAGGGATTTTTTGCCTTACGGGTACATGTAAGAGGAAATACTTTTGTAAGGAGTCGAGACAGCCATGGAAGGTACAAGAAAAAATCCAGGGACAATGTGCACTGGATTCAGAAACCGTAGGGTATGTCTTATTCTCTGGAAAGATATATATGCCTGCAATGTCATCTGCTAAAGTTCATTAAGGGAGGACCTTACTAGAGATGTGCCTGGAGGTAATGCTGAATGAAAATGTGGATTTGAGGAAATGGTGTAAGAAAGAGCAAACTGAATGGGCAACTGGAGAATTATGGGCACTTGTTGAGCACGAGGTCATACAAGAGATACCTCAGGGGAGACTGGTGAGTCAGGGAAGTCTGTAAAAATATAACAAGTGGAGCAATCTGGGAAATAGAGGAAGGCAAAATAATATGCTTGTCGTCTGGGAGACTCAAAAACTACAACAGAAAATACCAAAACAGAAAGTAGAAAGGAAGTGGAAAAGTTAACTCCAGGAAAAAACTGTAGAATCCAAAAAGGAGTGGTAGAGAAGTTAGTGAGCAAGGAAGAACTAAAGTAAGAATCATTTGTTAATAGAAGGCAAAATGGACGAAGAAAAAATATTGGCTGCTTGAACAGGGAGACTGTGTTAATCAGAAACAAATAAACTGTCACCAAATCAATTCCACAGAGCAGGATGTGAGGTAATTTCTCTATGCGGAAGATGTGGGTGGAAAAGGAAAAATGTATTCTGCTGGGAACAGGGAAGGAACTTTTTTTTTTTAATTTAATTTTCTTCAATGGGAAATGATGCTAAGAAATTCCCCCTGGAATAAATCAAAGATGATTAGACTAAATGATTTCATTTTAGGTAGGGAAAAAAATGCCTAAAAAGGGAAGACTCGTGGGAATGGTATCTGGCTGAATATCCAAGAAAAAAATTGGAACTGAGATCCACATTATTTTTTTAAAAAAAGAACCTTTAGAAATACATGGAAACCTTGGTAGAGCTTCATGTCTTCTTGGTCTACACAAAAAGCAAATCTAATCAATGAAAACTGAGCTATGGTTGAGGAAATACTGGTGGATGATCGGGAAAGAAAAGGTAAATTTACATAGTGGGACCAAGGTACAGAGGTGTTCAAGCTGCTCAGGAAAGATGTGAAGAAAGATGAATAAACTTGTGTAACTGCCTTCTCATTATCTGATAGATTAGGAGGGAAAAAGAAAGGATGGCATGCATCAGACAAGAACACATTTGGGCCAAACTAAAGGAAATATTTACCAAGCAGTCACCAGCCAGTAAGAGATGAGACTACAACTCTCTATCTGTTGACAAGCAGGACAGATACTATCAGAAAACTGGTCCAAAACCAGATCATGAGCAAAGCTCATTTAAATGAAATGGAACAATCAATACAAATAAGGCTTTATGACTTAAAGGGCAAATTTTGTTAGCCTAAAAGATCTTGTCAGTAAAATTAGACCAGATTATTCAAGACCTTGAATATGGAGGACCTTTGGAATTCCTTTGAATTAAAGAAGCTAAAGATATGTGGAATGCATAGCAGATGGAGATGGGACAATGCATGGAAAAGTGGTCACTCTATTCCATGAAATGGAAGAACTCCTTCCTTTTATAAGAGACATGTAATCACAGGATGAAAGAAAAAAGATGGATCAACAGATAGATGTGTATTAGAGGTCAAAATAAAAGTAAAGTGAAAATTGTCAGCAGCCAGACTGATTTACGGTTTGGACGGGCTATTTAAACAAAGAGGAAAACAATCTTCATGCAGATGAGACAAAAAAAAAAGCCATGAGTCTCCGATATGAGCTAATAGAAATAAAGAAAATGTATCTACAATTAAATGTATGTTTTCAGAGGAGACAGGATAAATAGTGGAAAAGAAGCTGTGATGACAGAAAATTACGAAACTGGAAGCAAAACTAAAAGCACAGTATACTCAGGACAGGGAGAAGTATCAAATAAAGTCCTTTCCACAATCTGACAAGAAAGGGAACATGAAATCCCAAAGCTGGTAGGAAGCAGCTCAGACATGATACTGGCTGACTGGAGAGGAGCAAATGTATTATCCATTTATAAAAGGGAGACCTATGCAGCTACAAACCCATTAGTTTGACCTCAGTTGCTTTAGAAGAAATTTTGAAGGAAAAAATAATTGAAGACAGGGAGGCAAATGGAAAATGGGATAACATACAAAAAGGATTTACTAAAGATAGAATGTACAGAGTGAATTTGTTATCGCTCTTTAATAAGATAACTGATTTTCTAAACAAAAGATTTGTGATACATCTTATCTATATCTGTGCTGCATATGATACAGCGTTACATAGGAAACAGGGGATTAGGAGAAGAGTTGTAAAGTGGATAAGAGATTGTCTAATGGATAGATGGCAACAGGTGGCATTGAAAGAAGAGGCATCAAACTGCTGGAAATTTACTAGCAAGAATTCTCAAAAATCTTTCAATCAATCTTTTAACATTCAGGCATGAAGAGAAGAGGTATGAATTCTATACTTTCCCTGAAGCTAGGAAACAAAGTCCTTACAAAGCAGGATAAGTGGGTTTTTTAAAATTACATAATATACAAGTACCTGAATATTTTTATACACACATACATGAAATATGGTACTATATTTTTCCATAATAAAAAAAAATATTTATGCTATGTAAAGACCTGAGAGTGTGGCCTTATCTGAAATTCTGACGTGGTCTATGTCACTTGGAATGAAGAAAACGTAAAAACTCGGATAATTGCAATTGCAACTGCAATGGCTGGCAGACTGGAGAGCCACTATTCATGGAGGAGAGTAAAATACTTAGCTGCCTTTGTCTGACTAAGCAAAAAACTGTAAGAGGATATGACTGGTGTCTGTAAAAGTATTTATTAGACAACAGACTGGAAAACAGTTGGATAAAGCTATGGAACAAGGCTGACAAATGGAAAAGCAGCTCATGCTTAGATAAGAAATGCAGGGAGGATTTCAACCATAAGAAAAGTGAATTTTCCAGACT